CATTTTAAAATCTCGTTCATTACTTGGTTTACCATCACAAAAATAGAAATGAAAATTTAATATAAGGCTAACCTTTCCCGATCCTAAAACTGCATGTAACAGTGGAGCTATTTTGTAGCCCTCCTCACGGCTCTGCAAATATATTTCCTCATTCTTCTCTGACTGATCGATCGCTTAATTGTCTGTGCCAAACATCATAATATATAAAAGGCACAAGAGCTTCAACGCATTCTGCCCAAGTTACAGTGAGAAGGACTGTTGAAAGATCGTACCACGATATAAATGCGTTGTTCAAAAAACACATGGTCCACTTGCGTTTGTGGTTGACTTATGGAACCAAATAAGTCTCGATTGAAATATTCCCATTTGAAAACGGGATTGTATGATTGAATCAATTTGGCGCAAAAAGTATTATCTTTTTGACTATAGGAATACTGCTTTCCAGTCAAATTCAATATTACGGGGAACCACAGAGCAGGACATTTTTATGTTTTTCGTTGACTATTCTTTCTACGTTCTGAGGAAGTGCATTCAGATATCCTGATATTGAAAATTTTATTTCAATACTGCTCAAAATCTCCGGACTTTGATTTGTACCTGTTGTCTCACATAGCGTTCAGTAATTTTACACGAGTATGACATATTTCGGCGTACGGTTGTAGTACCTCAAATACTTCAAATATAGTAGAAGTATATCTTACGTTCGTGATAGAAAGAATGGAGTAATTTTCATTCGATATATTATAATGAATCATTTGAAGTCGATCTTGAAGATAATGCTCTCTGTATACAGTTAGCATTATTTATTATTTATTTTATTAATTTATTTTTATTAATTATGAAATAACCCTGTTCTATACCCTAAACCTGGATTGATGATGAGTGTTCCAGTGATATGGTTTGGACTTAACCAGGCAATATCGATTAATGTGAGCCAGTTGTCAAGTACGTGCTTTTGTGATTAAAGTCATGGTGAACTTATCATATTGTTATGGGGACAATTTCCAAATTCCTAAACACATTATTAAACTTATTTGTCGAAAGATAGTGGATTACTCGTGGTTGCATCATCGAATTACATTATTCCCGATAAATTCATTGTTTATCGTGGTACACTGAGTGGGGTCCCTGAAATTCGGAAACATCGTTTACTCAGTGTTTAGGCGGCTGGTTGAACTACGGAGTGTGGTTGATAATTAAATGTGGACGATAATTTCTCCAACGTGGTCAACACCTTTAGTTTAATGCTGAGCTATTTATCATTTGAGCGTTTCCTCTATCCATTGGTCCGTAAATGATTTCTGCGACTATTGATTTTACTAGTTCATTGCCCAGTGCATTTGCTTTGCACCCATCTCATCCTAAGATCTTCAGACACATGAGTTTCAGTTTCGATTGCACGGCTGGTCTTCTAAACGACTAAACTTCGGCTTGAACTTATACCTAAAGCTTACGATGAAGTCAAAGTCAAAGATTTACTATGGGTGAGTTAACAAAGACAAAACTCATCATGCCTCATAGGATTTTTAAAGAAACTTTTCAATAAGTTCACAAGAAAAATAACAATATTAATATGCATGATTACTCACGGGTATCGACATTTTAAGTGTTATCATGGTTTATCAAGTTGCGATTTAAATAGTTCAACTGTATGACCGCACACTACATCGGATGGAATAGAATTCCATACGCCGCACACTATGACAGTAAACGAATGACACCGGCAATGAAGGTGGTTGTTCTGAGTCTTTACTTTTAGTGGATGTCCTCTTAGGCGATCATTTTGAGATAAAGTCAGCATTAAACCGCAAGGGTGGTGGGGTCAGTGCATTCTGTGATATGCCAAGAAGGTATATCATTTTTTCGATGTTGCCACAAGTTAATCGGAAACCGGATTTACCTGTATTTCAAAACATATATGGTACCTCTCTACTTTACAGGTGGTAGATGAACTCCCCAAACCTCTTACGTCGCAGAATCTGATAAGGCGGTTCCCGAGGCATCCTATGATCGCAAAAGAGGTAAGATTTAGTGCTGATGAGGAGAATGTGCTCACTGACTCCATTCGGTGGAACAAAGAAACCAAGCGGTATTATATGCTTTTTTATCCGTATTCATAAGTAAGGTCTGAGTACTCAATTTAAATTTGATTAACCCCGACTGTGACAGGAGTTTCGGTTTTGAACAAATACCACTATTTGTCGCCTGGCAGTTTCCACCGGGTGATCATAATAATTCAAAAGTTTCCAGATAAGAAACGGAAGTGACAATTGACCAATTTGTCCAGTCGCATTATGGCCAATGATCACTAAACGTGTGCATAACCCAAACCATTACTCATTCTGTTTCCGCTGCCATAACAACTTCAAAACCTTTCGAGTTGC